CCAGGTGTCCCCAGGTGTGATTTACCTGAAGGCCCGTGGGTTGAGCCCGGCCAGGTGTGGCAGGGCGGAGCTGAGCGCGTTCTGCAGCATCAGGAGTCTCCTGTAGGTTTTCTCCTGCATCGGCAGCAGCAGCCCCAGGCCCCCGTCCAGCGTCGCTGCGGGGCCACGGAGCGTCAGACACACCCCAGATCCCGATCCCAAATAACCCTGGTCCCAAATCCTGATCCCAAATAACCGTGATCCCAAATCCTGATCCCAAATAACCCTGGTCCCAAATCCTGATCCCAAATCCTGATCCCAAATCCTGATCCCAAATCCTGATCCCAAATCCTGATCCCAAATCCTGATCCCAAATCCTGATCCCAAATCCTGATCCCAAATCCTGATCCCAAATCCTGATCCCAAATCCTGATCCCAAATCCTGATCCCAAATCCTGATCCCAAATCCTGATCCCAAATCCTGATCCCAAATCCTGATCCCAAATCCTGATCCCAAATCCTGATCCCAAATCCTGATCCCAAATCCTGATCCCAAATCCTGATCCCAAATCCTGATCCCAAATCCTGATCCCAAATCCTGATCCCAAATCCTGATCCCAAATCCTGATCCCAAATCCTGATCCCAAATCCTGATCCCAAATCCTGATCCCAAATCCTGATCCCAAATCCTGATCCCAAATCCTGATCCCAAATCCTGATCCCAAATCCTGATCCCAAATCCTGATCCCAAATCCTGATCCCAAATCCTGATCCCAAATCCTGATCCCAAATCCTGATCCCAAATCCTGATCCCAAATCCTGATCCCAAATCCTGATCCCAAATCCTGATCCCAAATCCTGATCCCAAATCCTGATCCCAAATCCTGATCCCAAATCCTGATCCCAAATCCTGATCCCAAATCCTGATCCCAAATCCTGATCCCAAATCCCAAATCATCCTGATCCCAAATCATCCTGATCCCAAATCTTGATCCCAAATCATCCTGATCCCAAATCCTCATCCCAAATCCTGATCCCAAATCCCAAATCATCCTGATCCCAAATCCTGATCCCAAATCCCAAATCCCGAATCATCCTGATCCCAAATCATCCTGATCCCAGATAATCCTGATCCCAAATCCCAAATCATCCTGATCCCAGATAACCCTGATCCCAAATCCCAAATAACCCTGATCCCAAATCCCAAATCATCGGAGCAGCAGCCCCAGGCCCCCGTCCAGCGTCGCTGCGGGGCCACGGTATCAGACAGACCCCAAATCCTGATCCCAAATCATCCTGATCCCAAATCCTGCTCCCAAATCCCAAATCCCAAATCATCCTGATCCCAGATAACCCTGATCCCAAATCCCAAATAACCCTGATCCCAAATCCCAAATCATCCTGATCCCAGATAACCCTGATCCCAAATCCCAAATAACCCTGATCCCAAATCCCAAATCATCGGAGCAGCAGCCCCAGGCCCCCGTCCAGCGTCGCTGCGGGGCCACGGTATCAGACAGACCCCAAATCCTGATCCCAAATCATCCTGATCCCAAATCCTGATCCCAAATCCCAAATCCCAAATCATCCTGATCCCAAATAACCCTGATCCCAAATCCCCAATCCTGACCCCAAATCCTGAACTCTGATCCCAAATCCCCAATAATCCTGATCCCAAATCCCCAATCATCCTGATCACAAATCACAAATCCCAAATCATCCTGAGCACAAATCCTGAACCCTGATCCCAAATCCTGACCCGAAATAATGCTGATCCCAAATCCCAAATAATCCTGATCCCAAATAATCCTGATCACAAATCATCCTGATCCCAAATCCCAAATCCTGAACCCTGGCCCCAAATCCCAAATCCCCAATCCCAACCTCCAGAACCCCAAATTCCCAAATCCCCAATCCCCGATCCCAGATGTCAATTCCCGAATCCCAACCACGATCCCCCAAATCCCCAAATCCCAGAAACCCCACCCCTAAATCCCAAACCTCCAAATCCCAGAACCCGATCCCAGAATCCCAGAACCTCCAATCCCAAATCCCAAATTCCCAATCCCAAATCCCAGAATCTCCAACCCCAAATCCCCAAATCCCAGAATCCGATCCCAGAATCCCAAATCCCCAAATCCCAGAACCCCAAATCCCAAACTCCAGAACCCCAAATCCCCAAATCCCCAAATCCCCAATCCCAAATCCCCAAACCCAAATCCCAAATCCCAGA